TAAAAATAAGGTAACCGGGATTAATTGGACAAATAAACCAGTTAAAGCATTAGGAATATATTTTGTTCATAACAGAGAAGAATGTGAAAAATTAAACTGGGAGAATAAAATTGAGAAAATGGATAAATTATTTCGTTTATGGGGGAAACGTAATTTAACTTTAATCGGGAAAATTCTTATTATAAAAACATTAGTTTTACCACTTTTTACATTTTTGGCAAATGCCTGTACAGTTCCAGAGAAATTTAGAAAAGATGTAGAAAGTAAATGTTATAAATACATCTGGGATGGTAAACCAGATAAGGTTAAAAGAAATGCCATGATTAAGTCATACGAAGAAGGGGGGTTACAAATGATTGACATACAAAGTTATTGTATGTCTCTGAAAGCATCTTAGGTAAGTAAACTCATTAGTAACGGTATTTCAAACTGGAAGTTGATTCCTTTAAAATATCTCAGTGTGGTTGGTATCAATTAGTTGATTTTTAAGATGAATTTTGAAAAGAAGAAAATTCTAGAATATATCAAACACATCCCTGAATTTTATAGAGAAGTATTTAAATGTTGGGTAATATCAGGCGGTGGACAGACGAAAAAACCTACCAACTTCACAGAAATAAGAAAACAGGTAATTTGGGGGAACAAACTGATTAATTTTGAAAATAAAACCATTATTTTTGAAAATTGGATTAAGAGTAACTTGATATTTGTCAATGATATTAAGGATGACACTGGTAATATATCTCAACATATTATTTTGCAACAATTAGACTGCAAGAATAATTGGATAGCAGAATTAAATATTTAAAAAAGCCATCCCAAAAGACTGGCTTCAGATGTTAAAGTCTGAAAGTTCTATTAAGAGTATTGTAAATATTCCTAGACAGAAATTGATCTGGAAAGGTAATTACATTGAGACTTCAAGCTTTTCAACAAACATATTATATAAGTCAATTTGTAAAGATAAAACTGAACCCTCAATTGGTGTTAGCAAATGGATGCGTATTTTTCAAATTAATGAGAACCTTAGTATTAACCAACTATATTTTTTCATGTTTCATTATTTAGGAAAGAATAAGTTAAAAATATATAGATGGAAACATTTACAATTCATATTACCAACAAAACACTTATTGTTTAAATGGAAACAGAAGAATGACGGTCCATGTAATGTATGTAACGAAGAAGAAGATTATAACCACTTTTTTATTTCTTGTCGATTTTTAGAAAAATTTTGGAAAAATATTCATGAGTTAATGATAAAATCAAATTTAAATTTTAGAGTATCGTTAAAGCAATTAGTCTTCGGATATAAATATTTTGACAAAAATGATTTTGGTCTGAAATTATTTCCTAACAGTTTTAGGTTTTTCTATATACAAATCATATTATGTATCTAATCAGAAATTGACAAATGTAAATGTTTATCAAATTTTTGTTCAAGAATACATAAAAAGATATAACCAAAACAGAACAAGGAAATTAAATCAATTACTGAAGTCACTAAAAAGAAGTATAGACGATTGAAAAGATTAAAACATAATGCATAAAAATGTTGTACAATTGTATTTCAAGAAATGTGTACATATATATATACCGGTAGCTGACTACTAACATGGGTAATCAGTGGAATTTTACAGGATACATCAAGAAAAGCTTGATTTCTTCAAGTAACAATGTAACAAGCATATTTGGTGAATAAATATATAATGTCGTTAAAAAAAATTATATTGGCAATACAATTTGTGATTATGTGAATACTTACTTGGACATCCCCATGAGGGGCCTCATCGGTATAAATAAGTTCAATGATTGAGCATATGGGATACTTAATGTTCCAGATATAGCCAAAATTCACATGTTCGGAGCAGAGTATTATGAACAAATGTCATTGGGAAAATTACTGATCCATAATTGTAGAATAAGAATTCAGTTTGCAATGCTCAAAGTGAAAGCTAATTTAACGGTGCACATTAAACTCGCTAAATATTTTAGTTCTATTTTCACAATTTAAAGATCATTTGATTTATAGCCATCATTGAATTGGTATGTACCTCGGTTTTCCTTACCTTTGTACAGCTATGATCGAGTAATCTTACCAGACTCAAGCTGGCAGTCAATTGTTTTTACAAGTCTAAAAACCAAAAAAGCTGTATAAGACTAAAACGTTGCAAATATATAAAAAAAATATTTTAAATGAATATGATGGCACCTTCTTTGACAACGTCTTGTTGTGATTCTCATAAGATGACAAGCCGTATTATATACCAATGATGACAGAAGCCACTTTTTTGGGAGACCACTGTTTATTTAATTCAAAAAAATGTATACTTTGTTTTTGCTTCTTTTTGTCGATTTGCTATTTCTTAAAAAAGAAGGTACAGATACTATGTGGCTTGAGAAAAGAAAATAATCCAGGTCCATCTACTATAGATATTTTTTTTTAATCTGCGATGAATTGTAATTGTTTGTTTTATACATTTATTTTCACTGAACAGAATAAAAGGTAGCCACAAAACTACATACAGGCTTTCCATACACTAGGAATTCCTAAATATCTCGCAGTAAAACTATTTTTAATGTCTATTTCTCTATACGTTGTACATGAAATGAAAACTTGGATATACATGTGTGAATCAGTTTTTAAATGTGAACATATTCTGTGCGAAGACTGATTTTGTGTCATGGATGAATACCCCGTATCCTTTCTTTTCTATTAAGTACTTTCAATGAAAATCCTACGTGGACTATTCTGTCTAAATCAATTCGGCATACAACATTACCAAGTTATTAATGTAAACTTGAAAAAAAAGTAAAATTACAAAAATAGCGAACTCCGGGGAAAATTCAAAACGGAAAGTCCCTAATCAAATGGCAAAATCAAAAGCTTAAACACATCAAACGAAATTTTCTTTGCCAAATGTGCCAGTACAAAAAATTGACAGATGATTAAGACATTAGCACGTAGCTGTGCATTAAAGGTGCATAATTCGACCAGGTGATTTCAAAACATGGTCTTAAGTTTTCAATTTAATCCAAATTGTAAAAAGCTTTGCCGTAGAGACTTGCCGCGGAATACCGACACACAAATATGGCAGACAGCCAAAACGATGCAGGCGATACCAAGGGGACATTCAAAACTCCTTAGTCTAGGAGAAGATGACATCGCCATGGAAAAATACGAAAAAAAACAACGAAGAGACAAATAATTCAACAAAACACTACAAAGAAAACTAGATACAGGAACACACAAAAACACGGAGGTGATCTAAGGTGCTCCAGAAATGGTAATAGATCCTGCTTCAAATTTGACACCCGTCATGTTACTCTTTAAAAGTATTTATATGGCATCTTACAAAAACGGAATGATACATGTCTCTCGTTAAACACTAAGACATCACCAAATACAAAACCATTGGTAAGTTGTTTCTCTAATCCTAAAACTTGAACGAATGAGAAAGTTGAATACTAAACAATGTTTCCATGACGAAGGATAAGCGAGACTTTAAAGGTCTACATTGATTATTATATTTTTTATTAATATGTGAGAGGCAAACTGAGATATGTTCCTAATGATTTATGATTTGTGTTTATTTATGTCAACTTTTGCTCATTCCTAAAGTCGGATTTTAACACGGACTTCACGGAGCCTCGCTTACACCGAACAGCAAGCTTTAAAGGGCCCCAAAAACCGGAAAACCGGTAATCGATATAAAAGACGAGACCTAATATTGTGAAGAGTTGTCTAATTGGCAATAACACCACATCTTTTTTTTTAATATACACAAATATTACTTATAAATAAGAAGATGTGGTATGAGTGCCAATGAGACAACTCTCCATTGAAGTCACAATGCATAAAAAGTAAACAATTATAGGTCAAAGTACGGCCTTCAACACAGAGTCTTGGTTTACACCGAAAAGCAAGCTATACATAGCCCCAGAATGACTAGTGTAAAATAATTCAAACAGGAAAACCAACAGTTTAATATATATAAAAAAAACGAGAAACACTTATGAACCACACCAACAAACGACAACCACTGAACATCAGGTTCCTTTACATTTTTTGTAATTCAATACTGTATGTTTGTCACACAAACATTAATTTATGCACACCGGTTCAAATGTGCTAAGTATTATTCAATAACTCAGTGGTTTATCACTTGTTCTCAGTATATCTGTCGAAAAGGTTTGTTAAGCTGTTTGTGATGAATATAATTAATACGCACACAAGCCAGTTGGAATGTGAACTTTTATTTGATGCTTCGTGTAGACCTGCTCAGCCGCGTAGCTACGTTTACGTCAAAACGCCGCACATGAACTTTTTTAGGGTAAAATAGTTTAATCTTAATTAATTTTTAGGAACTGTTTAAAGATGAAGAACAACAATACAAGCGCTGTTCATTTGCTTTTTATGTGTTTTTTTGCTCTGTATGTACTGATTTTGTTTCATGGATGGCATTCGTGAATTAATGTGTCGTTCGGTCACTCGTTGAATATTTTTCTCTATTTAATTTCTTCGATTAGTTATTCTATAATTAACGAATAACGTTAACAATACAGACACGAGTCTTGTTTACGTTCTTATGTTGTGTTATTACGCCACTGTCCAATGTTATAGGGGGAGGGTGTTAAGCGCACTTACGCATGTTGGGTTTTGCTCATTGTTGAAGGCCGTAAGGTGACCTATCGTTCTGAATTTCTGTGCCATTTGGTCTCTTGTGTAGAGTTTTCTCATAGGCAATCATGATACCACATCTTCTTCTTTTATAGTTACCCATGATTGCATCAATGCAATTTTAGCGATTAAAATCTCAGGAAAAAAGGTCGAAAATAATTTTAATTTCAGTTCAAATGAATGCAGTTTTCCATTGTAAGTGATACATTTGATGGTTTGTGAAGTGAAGAAAGCAATGTTTTCAAATTTAAGTATTTCTCAATACTCCTTTAATGGTCGAACGGTAGAAGGGAAGTAACTCAAATCACCAATATATATATATGTTACTTGCTTCTAATTTCATACAAACAGACACAATAATGTACCAACATAAAACAAATAACACATACTCAACATTTGACTAGAAATCGACATTGTCATTTGTAGTAACCACGCTAATACAAAGTGGGATGAAAACTATCAAAAGTTTGTGGCACCCTGTGATTTTGGGGATCAGAATTCTTTGAGTAGAAATATATTAGAAAATAATGCACTCATTGATAATGTGTATATACTTCATTCCAAAAAACAAATGTCGATTGTATTAGTCGTTCGAGATTGACAGAGAACAAATCAATCTTCCATTGCTACTTGTGATGAGGCAGGTCGGGATCGACTGACACCTATTAGTTTTAAATTTCAAACTTTCTATCAAAAATACAAAAGAATACAAAACAAATTGACTATTTTCTAAACAAACGATTATCGTCATGTTATTTTTAAAAGTCATCCCGTTTAAGGTTTAATTTATAAATCATTTTACCGCAGAACAAAACTAGCCTAAAGGGATATGATTATCAAAACAGAAAATTGCATGGGGGTCCAATATACACATAACATTTCTTCTATGTTCCATACCTTTTTAAAATAGGCATCATGATAAGACTTTTAATTTAGATTCATGCAAGTTTTTCGCGTTTTTGTGCGCTCGCTTGAAGTTATTATAGGCACATTTTAGATTATCTAATACTATTTGAGAAATCCCACCTTGAATCACCTTATCTTCCACATTGTTAGGAAAATGTTAACCTAATAAACGATGAATAAATCAAAAAAGGATCCAACATTGAAGATTGAAATTTCTGGCTGGGGTAACAATCTTTTTAAATTTTCCTCGGATATATAAAAAAAAGCTTCAATTTGTAAAATTTTAATTAAATTATTTATCTTACAATAGCCTTGTGACATAAGGAGACATATAAAGAATAGCAAAATTACAGCTTAAGTCAATTTTGGATAACTTTTAGGGTTAGATTTGAAAACAAAATTTTGGAACGGACTCTACCTCGCTTTAGTTACTCGCTTTCCCTTTTATTAAAGGAGATTGCTCCGCCAATCATACATAGAAACATACATCAATACATTAAAAGAATGATCACATAATGTTTACATATTCTAATGTTGTGAATGCCCGGAGCAGGCTCTGGTTTCTGTAAAAGTGAGGATATAATGTTCCGTTTTAGTACTTAGATAAGTATTTTTAAACAAACGATTTTCGTTATGTTATTTTTAAATATCATCCGATTTAGGTATTAATTATTGTATGTGCATGTTAACTTCTTATATACATAAAATGTACGAGTCTTAATTAATAAATTAGGGGAAATATATTACATAAATATTCAAAGAAGGTTGCATTAAAGAAATGCGTGTTGGTAAGTGCCGATGTATCGGTTGTTGTTGCCTGAAATGTTGAAAACAGTGCACATATTGTTGTTTGAAATATTGGCATAGCTGTAACAGGTGCGCTGGCTGCTTTATCTGGATATTACAACGACAATATGTTCTGGTATATGTAAAACAGGATTTTCTAAGCCAGTTTTGATTTGTTGACGTTCCTCAGCATTTTGGTATTTTTGATGGCTGTAGCGGTTTATTTGTCTAGCCAATCGATGGTTTCTCTGGAGCTGTAGGGGTTGAATTCAGATCTAGGTGTTACCGGTGACGACTGAAAAAAACAGTAAGAACAATAGAAATTTCCAAATAAATCTTAAATATTAATTCTATAATAACTGTTCACTTAACCTTCCTGAAACAAAATATTATGTACATATTTTTTTTATTGTATTCTATTTTGAAAATTATGTATGAATATGTTTTTTATCATACAATGTGTGTTTGGATATTTCAATCCTAGTATTTATTCTGCTTGTTTAGATTTGGTCTTGTATTATATTCCTGAAATTATTGATTTTTTTGTCAAACTCAAGTTTTCTAGATATTATTCTAAACGATTTCCATTTTTTTTATTTTGCAAATATTTTTTTCTCTTTTTTCCGTATTTCTGCATTGATAAACGATTCTAAAATAGTACAATATAAAAATAAGGAGCTGTGGTAAGATTGCCAATGAGACAACTATCCACCAAAGTTCAAATGAAGTGGATGTAAGCAATTATAGGCAACCGTACGGCCTTCAGCCATGAGAAAACCCATACCGAATAATCGGCTATAAAAATATGAAACAATTCGATTGAGAAAACTATCGAAGTTCTTTAGAAAAAATAATTGACAGAATTCAAATTGAAGAAGAAATGATATTATTACACTGCATCTAACCTATTAACGTGCGTTTTCCCGTTTCGCTATTCCATTGTAGTCAACCAAGAGAAATCCGTCGACGCTCGTTTTCTAGTGTCTGTAAAAAGTTATTCTAGATTCTTGTATTCTCTCCAAATTGTTGTCATTATTCCAGTGAATAACTTCTTTGTAGCCGTAGATGCTCATTTCTTTAACCCTTACGCATTGTTACCCCAAATTGATACGCTGAATTTGTACGTCTGATAATGTAAGGGGAGTCTACCTCCAAGGGCCCAATCTTTTGCAATGTTAGGGAAATTTAATTTTAACAAACGATAAAAGTTAAATATGATTCAACATAACAACGTAATAAAGTCTTGGTTTACACCGAAAAGCAAGCTATACAGAGCCCCAGAATGACTAGTGTAAAATAATTCAAACAGGAAAACCAACAGTTTAATATATATAAAAAAAACGAGAAACACTTATGAACCACACCAACAAACGACAACCACTGAACATCAGGTTCCTTTACATTTTTTGTAATTCAATACTGTATGTTTGTCACACAAACATTAATTTATGCACACCGGTTCAAATGTGCTAAGTATTATTCAATAACTCAGTGGTTTATCACTTGTTCTCAGTATATCTGTCGAAAAGGTTTGTTAAGCTGTTTGTGATGAATATAATTAATACGCACACAAGCCAGTTGGAATGTGAACTTTTATTTGATGCTTCGTGTAGACCTGCTCAGCCGCGTAGCTACGTTTACGTCAAAACGCCGCACATGAACTTTTTTAGGGTAAAATAGTTTAATCTTAATTAATTTTTAGGAACTGTTTAAAGATGAAGAACAACAATACAATATAAATCATTTTACCGCAGAACAAAACTAGCCTAAAGGGATATGATTATCAAAACAGAAAATTGCATGGGGGTCCAATATACACATAACATTTCTTCTATGTTCCATACCTTTTTAAAATAGGCATCATGATAAGACTTTTAATTTAGATTCATGCAAGTTTTTCGCGTTTTTGTGCGCTCGCTTGAAGTTATTATAGGCACATTTTAGATTATCTAATACTATTTGAGAAATCCCACCTTGAATCACCTTATCTTCCACATTGTTAGGAAAATGTTAACCTAATAAACGATGAATAAATCAAAAAAGGATCCAACATTGAAGATTGAAATTTCTGGCTGGGGTAACAATCTTTTTAAATTTTCCTCGGATATATAAAAAAAAGCTTCAATTTGTAAAATTTTAATTAAATTATTTATCTTACAATAGCCTTGTGACATAAGGAGACATATAAAGAATAGCAAAATTACAGCTTAAGTCAATTTTGGATAACTTTTAGGGTTAGATTTGAAAACAAAATTTTGGAACGGACTCTACCTCGCTTTAGTTACTCGCTTTCCCTTTTATTAAAGGAGATTGCTCCGCCAATCATACATAGAAACATACATCAATACATTAAAAGAATGATCACATAATGTTTACATATTCTAATGTTGTGAATGCCCGGAGCAGGCTCTGGTTTCTGTAAAAGTGAGGATATAATGTTCCGTTTTAGTACTTAGATAAGTATTTTTAAACAAACGATTTTCGTTATGTTATTTTTAAATATCATCCGATTTAGGTATTAATTATTGTATGTGCATGTTAACTTCTTATATACATAAAATGTACGAGTCTTAATTAATAAATTAGGGGAAATATATTACATAAATATTCAAAGAAGGTTGCATTAAAGAAATGCGTGTTGGTAAGTGCCGATGTATCGGTTGTTGTTGCCTGAAATGTTGAAAACAGTGCACATATTGTTGTTTGAAATATTGGCATAGCTGTAACAGGTGCGCTGGCTGCTTTATCTGGATATTACAACGACAATATGTTCTGGTATATGTAAAACAGGATTTTCTAAGCCAGTTTTGATTTGTTGACGTTCCTCAGCATTTTGGTATTTTTGATGGCTGTAGCGGTTTATTTGTCTAGCCAATCGATGGTTTCTCTGGAGCTGTAGGGGTTGAATTCAGATCTAGGTGTTACCGGTGACGACTGAAAAAAACAGTAAGAACAATAGAAATTTCCAAATAAATCTTAAATATTAATTCTATAATAACTGTTCACTTAACCTTCCTGAAACAAAATATTATGTACATATTTTTTTTATTGTATTCTATTTTGAAAATTATGTATGAATATGTTTTTTATCATACAATGTGTGTTTGGATATTTCAATCCTAGTATTTATTCTGCTTGTTTAGATTTGGTCTTGTATTATATTCCTGAAATTATTGATTTTTTTGTCAAACTCAAGTTTTCTAGATATTATTCTAAACGATTTCCATTTTTTTTATTTTGCAAATATTTTTTTCTCTTTTTTCCGTATTTCTGCATTGATAAACGATTCTAAAATAGTACAATATAAAAATAAGGAGCTGTGGTAAGATTGCCAATGAGACAACTATCCACCAAAGTTCAAATGAAGTGGATGTAAGCAATTATAGGCAACCGTACGGCCTTCAGCCATGAGAAAACCCATACCGAATAATCGGCTATAAAAATATGAAACAATTCGATTGAGAAAACTATCGAAGTTCTTTAGAAAAAATAATTGACAGAATTCAAATTGAAGAAGAAATGATATTATTACACTGCATCTAACCTATTAACGTGCGTTTTCCCGTTTCGCTATTCCATTGTAGTCAACCAAGAGAAATCCGTCGACGCTCGTTTTCTAGTGTCTGTAAAAAGTTATTCTAGATTCTTGTATTCTCTCCAAATTGTTGTCATTATTCCAGTGAATAACTTCTTTGTAGCCGTAGATGCTCATTTCTTTAACCCTTACGCATTGTTACCCCAAATTGATACGCTGAATTTGTACGTCTGATAATGTAAGGGGAGTCTACCTCCAAGGGCCCAATCTTTTGCAATGTTAGGGAAATTTAATTTTAACAAACGATAAAAGTTAAATATGATTCAACATAACAACGTAATAAAGCCTGAAATTATTCTGCGAAATTTATTATTTTTTTGATCTACTTGAGCTAAAATTATAGTGGTATTTGTAAGGATTTCTATTCTAGTGAATATAAAAAAGAAGATGTGGTATGATTGCCAATGAGACAACTCTCCACAAGAGACCAATTGACACAGAATTTAACTATCGGTTACCGTACGGCCTTCAACAATGAGCAAAATATAGCTGTTTGCGTCTCTAATGTATGTTTTTTTTTCAATTCTTGAACTTATTCTATATATATGTAAATAAATAAATAGGGGTAAGTCTGGAATATATATGTCAGGATTATTTGAAATTGTGTCTAAACAGAAAGATTGTAGACTTGAAGAGTCAAATGGATCAAAATCATATGACAATAAATAGTCAATGCTTTAAAAGTTTGTTCTAGATTTGTGACGGCGAAAAGTTTCTTGTAACTCTGGAAAATCTGAAAAATAGAAAAAAAAATCGTAAGTTGTAGTTAGAAAGTAACGAAGGATATACATAGAAGTATTGCGGTAGTTTTCTTCACCTGGGGTATCACTATTTGTCATGGGGTATCACTATTTGTCATGAGAATATTGTTATTACTGTGGATTCATTATTATCCCTTGGATACCAATTTTCGGATACAGGTGAACCAAGAAATTTTCAACGAATGTACAATTTAGATACGAAATATGTCAAGTCTGGTGTAATATACAACAGTTAAATTGTCAATATTATTTGGATATTGAACATCACAAAAAGTTGAGCATACAGGCATTGAAAGAATTGGAATGCAAACGCAATCGAACATTTGTGTTAATTGTAAGCATAATGTAGTAGTCATATTTGTTCTTTTGAAGGATTTAATTACCAAAACTATCATCAATAGAAAGGAAATAAAATACATGTAATGCTAAAAGCATGACCCAGAGTTTGAATTGGAATAGTACGTAGTAGGTGTTTGAGTTGTTGAAGGTTCAAATCTAAAATTGGGAAATGTAGTAGCCGACGTTTGGACAAGTTGGTAAAAAGCTAGTGACAGCTATGACTTTGAATTTATAGAATGACCAGATAAGAACAACTGGAATCTAACCCTTCAAAATATTTGTCAACGTCCAATGAAAATTATAGTTACAAACGAATTGCATCAGAATGATAATTTATCATTTGTAGTATGCTTTTTGTCGAAGTCTTATTGTGTAGATATTTGGTTGCACTGTCCTACCTGATGAACGGGTTGATGTTGATGGTATTGGTCATGGAATTATTGCTCTGTTGCTCCTGCTTCCGTTGTAACTCCTGTTGATGTTGACGTTTTTTGCGGTTGATGCACTTGCTGCAGTTGTAGAAATGGATGTTGGCAATTTGGGGTATAATGAGGCAAAATGATGTGGCGTCTGCAACCGATAATTTCTTGCAACAGGTGCCGTTTTTTTTTAAAATGAAGATGGAATTGTTTGCCTATGTACGGTGGACGGTCTGAAGGGGATGATACTTGTCGGAAGAGTAGGCTGTCCTGTCCACGATGAAAGAAAATTACTGGTCTTTGGATGAAAAGGCGACGACTGAAAGAATGGCTGGTCATTCACGTATGGAATTGTTGTGAAGTTGTCACAATCGACAACTGGATGCGAAACTGGATGATCTTTCTTGAAAATGACACCGTCGTCTGGTTGGTTTGAAAATATGTCTAAGCTTTCAAACGCGGAGTCGATTTTTAATTAAATCTCCTGTCTGTTGTAATTTGACGGTGTTTTTCCTGGTTTTAGTGGTTTTTTCCCGTTGCCAAACATGGTCCTCTATCATTCTATTGTGTTGATGATTTGTGTTGTTGTTTTGGTGTCTAATAACCCGACAATTGTAATGCACTGTGGCACAATCTAGGGGGAGCCTCATGGTAGAAGGCCGGGAACAACAACGGGAAAGAAACCCAAACTAGAATATCAAGAAACTCGCTATAAATTTAATAAAGAAAATATCAAAATAATCATAATCTAATTTCAAAGTACAAATTTTAAATTGAAAACAATAATAAAATACTACAAACAATTCAAATTAAATATAAAATAATAACAATAATAATTACTATTAAATTAAACCTTTTAAATTAAAACATTAGTTACTTATAAACTTTGTTTTATTTTTCCAAAGTAAAATTATAACAAAATTAATTTTAAATCTAAATTATTTTCAAAACCCAAGAGACTCACCTAGAATATCAAGAAACTCGCTATTAATGTTATAGCGGCTTGATTAGTTTATATTCTAATTTCTGAGTGTCATAGTGACCCTTTATCTATTATTCTTAATCTGCAATTTCTAAACCAAATAAATAAGAATGCCTAAATATAG